TGAGCCAAATCTCAAAATTGTCCTATGGTGTTACTGTCTCAAGCATAATTCAGTAAATTACAACTTTTATAAATTAAAAAGAAAAACATAAAAATGTTAATAAATACCTCCGGCATAATTGTACAAGTGTCTATTTTAGTAAATGGTAATAATTTTTTTCATCCATATATTTCTGAAAGCATAGGAACTTGATACATTTTGTATCTGAAAACCATGTCCTGATGTTATCCTGAATCATGATACACCATATCATGATTTTAAATCGGCCAATTCCAGAGAAAACTTTAATTAGTTGAAGGACCCCATTCATGTGTTACTGAAGCCCCCTGTGAAGCCCATGACATGTGCACATGGTCCATTTTTCTCTCAGAATTGTTCAAATATTTAACTTTTTTGGAACCACTACAAAAGTGTTACGTTTTGTTGTCCTGCTGTCCTAAATTATATTTTTAAATTAAAAACTGTATGTTAAACTACATAATCATGGAAAATTATGCAAATGTGTCTTGCTAACCACTAATGACAGGTTAGCTCGGAATAGCAAGGTCATTAATTGACACAAAAGGCTGAAACTTGAAATATATTCTAAATTATGAACCATTTAGAAATTAGAATCTGTGACTCCGTTATTAATTTCATTAAAGTGGTTGCCAGTACGACTAAGGATTATTTACAAGACACTCATACTTGTTTTTAAGGTCTTGCACAATCTAGCTCCTGTGTATTTGTCCAGTATGTTGGCAATCTACACCCCCTCTAGACCCTTGAGATCAGAAAATCAACATCTGCTTTGCTCTAGGACAAAATATAAACATAGAGGTGACAGAGCCTTTTCTCGTGCAGGCCCTAAATTGTGGAATGACCTCCCACAATCTATTCGATCTGCCAAATCCTTACCCATGTTCAAAACTATGTTAAAACAACATCTTTTAAATACAAATGGGGAGCTTTTTTAAATGGGTTAATGTTTATGTGATGTGGGTGTGTATATTTTTGCTATCTTCTTGTGTTTCTTAGCTTGTGATTGTGAAGCACTTTGGGCAACGCGAGTTGTATTAAATTGTGCTATATTAAAAAAAAAACTGTGCTATATAAATATATAAATATTATTTAAATTCAATTAACTCTTC